AAACTTGGTCTGATCGAAAGAATGGACTAAGTAACACTGAGAGAAGAGATTGACAAATACCCTGAGCTAAGGGAGACAACTGGCACACTCCCAGGTATATGTCATCTCAGGATTAATCCGACAGTCCAACCTGTAGTCCACGGACCAAGATGTCAGCCTCAAGCTCTCCTCCCAAAAGTTAAGGCAAAGATAAAAGAGATGGAGAGTGAAGGTCAAATAGCTAAAGTAGTAAGCCCAACGGACTGGGTGAGTTCTATGGTGGTAGTCCTAAAAAAAGATAAAATCAGGATATGTATTGACCCCAAGAATCTAAACCGGGCAATACGAAGAGAACAATACCCAATACCCACCATAGAAGAAGTTCTGTTAGGCAGGCCAGGAGCCAAGGGATTCACAGTGATGTTTACAATGCCAAATCAGGTTTCTTGCAGATCAAGCTAGACTACGAATCAAGTCTTCTAACAACATTCAATACTCCTGCAGGAAGATACAGGTGGCTACATTTACCTTTCGGTATCAAATCGGCACCAGAAGTATACCAGAGAATTATGGACATAATGCTGGAAGATATAGAAGGAGCGCGAGCAATAATGGATGACATCCTCATAGCAGTAAATGATTCAGCTGAACACGACAGAATCATGAAGAAGGTCGTTGCACGTGCAAAGGAGTGGAACTTGAAACTAAACTTTGAGAAGTGTCAAGTAAAGAAGAGCAGTGTGAAGTATGTGGGGCACATCGTCACTGCAGAAGGACTGAAGGTAGACCCTGATCAGGTCAAAGCAGTCGCTAACATGCCAACACCACAAAGCAATTAAGGAAGACGTGCGTCGATTCCTAGGATTCATTCAATATCTTGCTAAGTTCATACCAGAACTTAGTGCCATTGACGAGCCGTTGAGGGAGGTCACGAAGAAAGATGTAGAGTTTCACTGGGACAAGCCTCAGCAAAGAAGCTTCGACAAGCTCAGAGATCTATGCTGCAACACACCTGTAAATAGCCTATCTACGACCCTGATAAGGAATAAGAATCCATGTGATCAAGCAGCTTTGCGCTTTGGAAGGGTACTATACAAGAGAGCAGCCTTACGCGTACACATCAAGGGCTCACGAACGGAGAAAAGTACGCTACAGATAGAAAAGGAAACGTAGCAGTGTGCACTCCTGCAAGAAAAGTTCATCATTACGTATTCGGCAGAGAAGTCCACATAGAGAGTGTCATAAGCCATTGCAAGGCTATATATACGAAGCCACTACTCTCAGGCACCAATAGACTGCAAGAGCAATTCCTTCTTACGACTGCAACCCATATGATTATCAAAACTAAGTACAAGCCAGGAAACAACATAGCCAAAGGAAACAACTGCAGTAGAGCAAACCTGCCTGAAGAAGATGCGATATGAACAGTGACAGTCAACATGTGATTCATTGCAGTCGCAACCAACGAGAACACACAGTTTCAGGAACGCAAACAAGCAAAATGACCGACGAGTTAGCACACTATGATCCTGAGGATGGCCTAAACACCAAAAGAAGGTGGCCCCATTCCCATAAGGAATACAGAATATCAGACATCCATCTACCGTAATTAGGTGTAGTGTACAAATTAAATAGATAGTGTACCACCTAGCATGGCGCCAAAATGCTGTCAAACCGATCCATGCACACACATGGGAATAGTAAAATGCAAGAAAAATGGCTAGAGAAGCACCGTTCCCTGGCCAAACAATGCCAACAAGGCAAGATCTGTAAATTGATGCGCGAATGCAACACATATCAGCAGAAACATCGCAGGCAAGGAAACATAATCCTACAAAACACGCAGAACTGCCATGGATGGAAGTACATCAGACATATACACATGGAGAAAAAGAAGCCACTACATTGTCACAATAGACTACTTCTCCAAATACATCGAGCTCGCAAGCAGCCAGACTTGACACCCATCGAGGCCCTAAAAGCGGCAAATCAGCCGACATAGCAAACCGAAAGCCGTAGCTGACAATATCCGCAGTATGACTCCAGAGAGTTTCATCGACTTGTAATGATTATGGGATGAACACAGAACATCGCACGAATACCCACAATCAATGGGAGAAGCTGAGAGAGGCAAGTACAAACTGTCAAGAGACCTTTGGTCCAAGTGTGCTGACAAACACTTAGCACTTCTTGATTACAGAAGTACTCCACTGGAAAGTGGTGACAAGTCTCCAGCACAACTATCAATGTCTCGTAGACCAAGGAACAAGATACCAATTGCCAGCGAGCTATTGGAGCCCAAGGCATATGACATTAGTGAGGTGAGGAAATGTCTCGACAGAAACAAGGAGGGAGAGGCAACGTCGCTACTATGACTGCAAGGCAGGCGAGCATCTACCTGTGCTAGTAGAAGGAGACCCATGAGAATGGCACCTTATCCAGGTGCAAAACGCTGGTTACCCGTGACTGTCATAGGGCATCACAACTCACCTAGGTCATATGTAGTCGAGTACAACGAGAGGAAATACAGAAGAAACAGAAAACACCTTTACATACCTACCTATAGCTAACAACAGAACACGAAACTCTCAGAGCCAAACAAGTGGGAGCACAGATGTGGACAGCCCTATGATAACGAATCGTCAAGTAGCTGGTCCGAAGTTAACTCCAACCCAAGTGATTCTGGAGAATAAGACAATCCAATCGCCACCGCTGGTTAGAACGCCAGATAAACTTTCAGTGACTGTTAATCAACCGCGGATAACTCGCAGTGGTCGTGTTTCTAGACCACCCAAATTTTTTGATTTGTAAAACGGGAAGATTCATATTCGATAATGTTGGATATTGTAAAACGGGAAAATTCATATTCGTCTTGGTATGAATCTTGTACATTTCATTACTTGTGTCACATAGAGATGGATTCTCATTATTATTTATTTTATTGTAAAAGAAGAGAGATGTAACGTTTAACGACATATGGTTTACGACATTGTTACGTCATACCGTTATCAACATTAAACCAGGCTTTATAAGACTACACGCTGGTCAACCGAGTACATTACAGACAGTAAGACACAAACTGGAAAAAATTTTATTGGTTTAAATGATTGAACTGAAGTTAAGAAAGTAATTCTTTCTGTACTTTTGAGCGCAATATACATTTGACCTATCCTGCCGGGACATTCTTCTCACTCTGTTCCGATAGATGGCGTGCATACTGACTATGTGCAGGGAATAGATAATCCGAACTAGTTGCTACCTTCGTTTAGCGGGTGTTGCTATCCCCCGGGCGTGGAGGGAGGGTCACGTGATACAGTTGACGTATACTTCAAAATCATTAATCATCCGGTAACGCTAACTGCAACACCTCCAACGCTAACCATAAGACTCAATATATATATCTCGGCCGGAGCGCTATATATAGGTATTGTGATCCACAAAAATTAATCTATGGTGTGGGGACAGATATCATGATGCAAAAGCCCTAACCCTAATCCTAATCCTAACCCTAACCCTACCCCTAATCCTAACACTAGTGCTGCCACGTTGCGGTCACCTCCCTCCACGCCCGGGGGATAGCATTACCCTCGTTTAGCCCATGCTGTGATACTATCAGCCACCCACCTGACACGCAGCTAGGGCCTGCATACCTCCCAAATCCCATTGGTTGATACAAATCGCGTGTCTGAAACTCCTGTTTTATGGTGCATTGTAACCCTAACCCTAACCCTATTTAAAAAAGGCTTTAAAGCCTTCAGGCTTAAAAGTAACATTTTTTCTAGATTAACATCTTGAACTAAAAAACGGTATTAGAGTTCAATAATTGAAACAAACTTTTTCACGACATGTAAAACTTTAAAAACAGCATATATAACTTAATTAGCGATTCTTGTCTATATCATAGAGTATGTAATCTGCACATCTCTAAAACAGCTAATAATTATTTATACCTTAAGGTTTTGCTTCTCGATCGGAAAAGTAAAGATAACGAGTTACAACAATATGCGTGTTCTAACCTCCACCAGGGGGCGCCAAAGAGCAGCTGTGACAGGAGCTCTTGCGTGTTGAGGATGACTGACACCTTCTTCCACAATGGCACCTGAATACGCACCCGGCAGTTAGATGCGATATTGTATGACTACTAGGCACTTAGGATATGACTACTAGGCACTTAAAAAAAAAAAAACCCTACCCTAACCCTAACCTAACCTAAACCCTAACCCTAACCTAACCCTAACCCTAACTTTTTTT